GGGGATGAGGGGATGTGAGATGGGTGGAAGGGTGGGAGGGTGGGCAACGGCAGGGACCCAGTTGACAGTGTGTTACTTGTTTCACATCGTTTTGCTCTTCTTTCCGGCTCTTTCTGGATTGTTTTGTGCTCATGTTGCTCATCACTTACGCTCAAAACAAGACTGTTTGGAACAACTGGTTCTTCCAATGATATGGCGGTCAAGATATGTCAAGATCCTCTTCATACAAAGTTGTCGTTTGGGGTAACGTCTACTTTGGGCAGGAATTGCGTCGGGTTCTTTGGGTTAAGCAGATGGTGCAAGCTTGGCGAAGATCCCACCCGGTTGAGTAGACATTGATGAACTGTCGCATCTCATTCTCCAGCCGAAAGTCCAGTGCAACTGAAGTGAAAGTTTAAGAGTGTGCAAAGGAGTGATTTCCAGTCCTGAAGTAGAAGACATAAAACTCCATTTAGTAGTTGTTTGACATGTAGTACAAATAGTAAACATTAGTAAACCACTTTGACGTTTGACCAAAGCATGCAATCTGCTTTGAACTCCCTGTACCCAATCGTCGCGTCGCGTTTGTTCTCCACCCGACTGCCAGCTGCCCACACATTCTCGGGATCCACTTCAAACCACCCGAGTGTATTGCTGAATGGTGCTTGGGGATCAGTTGAAAGGTGCTTGCTTTCAAGACCTTGTGTTTTGTGGATCCCAAACTGAATTACATTCCACCAAGCCCCAGGATATGAGGGGCACCTAAACATTCTTCTTCGAGCAGTCTATATAGGGATTCCGAGATTCTGCAGTCTAAAGTCTTAAACATTGTTCTTCCAACACCCAAACCTTCTGCAGTCTTTTGGGGATTCTGTTCTGTTTGTTTCTCCGAAGTGCTTTTAAACATGCGACCCCTCAGTTTGTTTCAGTCGATCAGCGACAGCAAGATACTTTTGATCGACAAGAAGTTCTGCCGGACTTCTTATCTTCTTAGTGAAGAAATCTGTGATGAGGTTTTACAGCACTGAGAGTTTGCAGCTCACTGATTTGGTTTTCTCAGTTCTTAGGTTCTGCTGTTTAATGGCTGCAGTGAAAGACTGTCAAAGAGTTCACATAGAAAATACATCAGACACATGAGAACCACCAGTCCCCTCAAGCCACTGAAGGAATGGGGAAGTATATTTCGTTTGTGTTGCGATTACATGGTGGCAATCTTGTTTTCGAAGCTTTCAAATGCCATGGCTGTATGCCATTTCCATTGTGGGATAAATGTTCAAAAACCATTACTTCTAGATGCCCGTTTAGAATTCGCTCGCGATTCCAAGCGGAGAGACCAGAATGTGATGACTTTGTGCTGATTTCTTGGTTGCTGCAATTCCATGCGGGGAAGACAGGACGATGGGACACCATGGGGTGACTGACGAGCGGTTGCCTTCATGCTTCGTCGTGGCGACTGGACGCCGCGTCTCTCAAAAACACCCTGCAGGAGGGCCAACAGCGATGAAGATGTGAATCATGAGGTGTCTTCAGGTAGCCAATTCGCCGCCAAACACTGACTGAGGATCTTCAGAAGATCCAGCTTGTCCGAAAGAGTTGGTCTGACGGCCTGTCCCGCAAAAATCCCTATCAACCTGTTTGGATCTGTATGGCACATGGAGGGACCTAATCATTGCTGGCCAAACCTGCCCGGTACATTGCTCCGACTCAGTCCAACTTCAACAGTGACGTACCGCGTGAAGAACATTTTAGGTGTGTTTAGGTTTTGTCACTGATGGGAAACATGTACAATAAGTAGCAACAGAGGAAACGAAACCACAGCCTTTTGATGGGAGCAATGGAAAGAGAGAGAGAGAGATTTGCCGCCTTTTGGGGCTGGACGCATTTGGATTTGGGACTGTCATGCATTCGAAAACAGCATAGCGTCAGAATCCAAAAAAACGTATGTTTATGCTGAAAATACCACCCTGAAACGATTCAGAACCCCCGAAGAAGACATGGGTTGTTTGATGTTGTTTGTATACACAAATCTCCTTTGTATGCACAACCACTGGGGTTTGTTGGTTTTGTCTCTCGCTTTGTGTTTTGCACAGCACCTCTCTGGGTGGAAGCAGAGAATCGTCGCTCTTGTGAGGAGCAGCAATGGGTTGATCTAGGATCAGGTATATGTAGTCTATAGACATGTCTAGACTAAGAAAGAGAGAAAGAGTCCATGAACGGATTCCTCCCAGATCATCAGGCATTCTTTGTTTCGGCACCATCTTCGGAAGGCATCTCAGATACTCAGGTCCATTCTTTGTTTTTCTTACAGGTGTGAAGCCACACATTTGATCATGCCAGTGAAACAAAGCGCCTTTGGCCACATTGGAAGCTCCTAGCGGCAAGCTGGACATGATGGTGGACCCTTGCACGTCCAGCAAAGGTCGGCCCTTGCAACCAAGAAGAACACCAGTGGACCTACCGAGACATCTCAAGACAAGCCACGGACCTGACGTGAAAGTGTATAGATACAATTTGCCGATCATGGTGTTCGTTCGCCAAATACTCTTTGTGGCAAACTTCCAGATTTCATCATAGTTCACCGCCAGTGGGGATGCATTTCTAGTCAGATGTTGTCAGCATGGTGCATTGCACTTTCTTCTTGCTGGTGTTCGATTCATTTCTGACAGTTTGCCTTTGGCGTACATCCCCAAAATCAACATCAAATCCTCAAATGAACTGATGCAGGATAGCTCTTTGCCAGAAACTATATGTGACAGCGTTGCATGCACTGCTTCATAGCGATGTTCTTTTTTCCTGCAGGTAATTCCACCAGAAGTTCTTGACTCAAATGCAGTGCTGGCGGGGCCTGCTTTTTTGTTACAGCACCATTTCACATGACGTGTGTCTCAGAAAAGGAGGATCCCGGATCCCTCATGAGGCCTTTTGTTTTGTTTGAATCACGATTGAGAGATATTGAGAGTAGATGGTACCATCAATCAAAAGCATTTTGGGCTTTGCACCATCGATGTGCTCCTGACTCCGTGTTTTCAACACCTTGATGGGTATTCCGAACTTTTTGAGACACACCGCGGGGTGTCAGATGCTACAACCCGCACGCGGCCCGTCTGTCTCGACACACGGCCGTGTCGTTAATGAATGGGTGTTCTTCCACGGTCGAGACAAGCCCGCCAAGACGAATCCGTCAAACGGTGGTGTGACCTGTGAATCCGTCAAACACTCCTTTGTTTGTTTTTTTTGGTTCCGATGCCTGGCCCGCCATTGCTTTTCTTGGGGTTTATTGTAGTATACATAGCGATGGTCAACCGGCCTTGTGACAAAATCGAACGGAAGGCTAGGCTAGGGTCTTAGTTTTGGGTCTTAAAAACTGTTGCTAGGGAGTTGCACCTTTGGTTCACTTGGTGCAAAACAGGCCCAAAACACTGTAGCCTCTTCTCGTTCTGTGTCTCGCCCTTCAGTGCCCCTTCCTCTTGCCCTTCAGTGCCTCGTACAGGGTTAGAAGGATGATGAAGGACGTAAAATAAAGGAACTGTGTGACTGTATGTCGTGGGAATTGCTGTGGTCGCCGGCAGTTTTTTCCATGTTTCTGCGGGATTCTGCTGCCGGCTGCTCCACCGGCTTCTCAGGACTTGAGTCCTTGGTAAATGTTTGGAGAACTCACTTGGTTGACGGTTGGCATCGGAGCTCTCGACTGTGACCGCCCGAAAGAAACATGAAGCGCGCCTCCTGTGCTGCGTGAGAAGAGAAAAGCTATTGAAGCTGGAGCAACCTGCCAACAGTACGTCTAGTCTAGTTCGCAGTTGAATCCAAGCATTGCATGCTACTGATAGAGATTGCTCGATAATTAAGACACCATTCGACCCTATTTCATCCTGTTGTTTTACAGTGTTTTACACATATTGTGTTTCTCTCAGTTTGGGCTTTGTTTTGCTGGCATTGTGCTAGGGAGAACGAGGTATGGACATAGGACCGAAAAGGAATGCAGAGCAGAGCAGAGCAGCTTTGGAATGGCATTTGCAGCTTGGTTCGAAGACTGGAAAGAATTTCTGTTGATTACACAGTACCAATTTCTTACAAACCTCAATGACTTGTTGGAGTCAACCCCTCATGGCAACGTAGAGAATTACCCTTGTGGGACTTCGACTGTGGGCTGATCAGTTGGATCAGGAGATGTTCTTCGGCTGTCGAGGCACCAGGGATGGAACACGGGTCCGACACATCACTAGGATGCGTCCGAGCTACTACCCGCCCTTGTTCGTAGAGGAACCAAGATGGTTTGGGCATGGCCGCCCACTGGATTCCCGGTACCCCTCGGAGCGCCCGATGTCCGGAATGAACTTCCGGCCATTGATACAGCCTTTGGACTCTCAGGTTTGCACCATCCAGAATGGGTACGTGACCCTGAAACTCACAATAGAGCTAGGCGCTACTGTTGTCCCCGTTGGTGGATGCAAACTGAGACTCCTTCGAAGCAGATCAAGTCGGGTTCGTTCGTTGTGGGAGTTGTTGTCATTCTGACTTTTGGCGTCCGATCCAGATTTTCTCCGACAGATGTGTGTACCTCCAGATTGGCATTAGGGCATCAGATGGTTTGTACTGTTCTTGCTATGGAATCTTTGAGTGGGGAAAAGAAGAGACGCGACATCGGGTCACCAAAAAGGGTGCAGAAACGAAAGAAGACGCTTACGACCTGTGCCACGTTGTGTTCTCCACAGCTTGGCTACATGGCAAACCAGCATGACATGTTTGGGAAAGGAAGGCTCCCTGCAGCATCACAAACAGAAGCAATGGATCTTGTAGATGCATTCTGCTGCTGGTAGCATGACCTGCTGGATTCTTGTCCACTCTCAAACCAGATGGCAAGACTGACCCTGCTCATTCTACTGTTCCTAGTAACTAGTACCTGACGGAGAATAGTTGACTTCTCCAGCTCCAAGCCTGCTCCACGTTACAATTGACAGGCGTCGGGGCCAAGCTTCACCACCTGAAAAAAAAGAAAAGAACAAACCACTCGAACGCCCGGTCAGACGTCTTCGGGTCCCCCCAGAATCTATCATCATTATCTCCATGCCCGGCAGCCATGTCGTCCCCATGCCACGTGCCAGACATCACCGATTTGGACACTTCGACGAAACGGGTGACCCATGGGGGACCGAGGAAAACGGGTCGAATGGGGCGACCGGGCGGCCTGCGTCGAAGAAGCGCGTCTGGAAGAAGACCGAGACGGCAGACTGAGTAGACTGAGTAGACCATATGGAAAAGCTGTAGCAGCATCTGTCCCAAGAGTCCTGCAGTTTTGAAGGTTGCAGAACCCATGAAACACACGAATTGCGTTGTGACATGTTGCGACCCCCGAAGAGGCGATGGAACATCACAAGACATTGTATTAATATGTGCCATTATATACAACTAATGAGATAGAGCATGGGAGCCTATCACATCCAAATAAGCTTCCTAGTCCTAGTGGTTTTGGAATGTGTCATTTTGAATCTACACGTATAGAGATGAAGCCAACTAATTATTATAGACAAGACGATAGACTACTTAAGATTCACCAAACGACACGATAGCTCCTCAGCTTTGATTCTCGGACGGAACAAGCGTACTCGGAAGCGTAGCGGATCATGGGACTAGTTCACTCGGACATTGAGCCCTTTGTCCCACTCTTGATCATTTCGACATCGAAATCTGAACGAGCGCAATGGACCGACGGAAATCTTGTAGCCAGTAGTCCCTAAAGGGAAGCGTGTCGTTGTAGCCAGTGTTACATTATGTGCTCCTAGACTCCTCTATGGATGCGGTTACAGAGAGTTGCTGTTCTCTTTGCTTTTGGTGGACATATATAAGACAAAATAATGCATATTGCAACCGCAGTACGGTTTGGACTGAGCACTTGGCATGTCAGGAGAGTTCATCCGTTGGTGAGAAGGAGGATCAACTGGCCGCTGAAGGTGGGACATTCTATAGCGACGCTGTGTGCAGCCGGCAAAAGTTGAGCCATATGTGAGATAGCCCAGAGATCACTTCAGGGGACTGGTGTTTTCTCGGTCACTTGTGTCGGTTGATGCTGGTGCATGTATAATGCATTGGGTATGATTATGCATGTATGTTTATACAGTTTTAGACGACGTATATATTATAAGTTATATATACATGTGCCACTTTCTGTTTCTGTTTGCTGGGTGCATAAATATAGATCGACATATCACATATACGTGTGCGCGACTTCTCATCCGATCGTTAAACAAGCTCCTCACTGATCTGACGTATAGGTACTGCTTCTGACCGTACGGTGCTCATTCCATCGCTTTTGGAATCTCCTACGGTGGGCTGAAGGAATCTCTATCCCACAAGTCAACCACTCCAAGTGATCGGCATACAATTTTATGTTGTTTTGCTAATTCGGGCTTTTCTGCGGGTCTCAGGTCTTCATGAAGGCTAAGACATGTTTGACCGGCCTTTTGGCACGGTTTGTGGAGTCTCGCAGGGATTGGGATGCCCTGTGCATCGATCCTGCCAGTCGCTAAATTAGGCACGTCTGGGTGTTGATAACACACCAATTTTTCTGCAAGGGAATCATAGGATATAGGGAATAATCCATGACCACTGTATAGGTCTTGATGTCTTTGTCATTCTTTGTCCATTTGTTTCCTGAGCTCGACTCTCCCGCGCAGAGTCAGGCCTCTTTGGTAGAGGATGGCTGCCTCCAGAGGAACGGGGGAAGTTGATCTCGGAGCCCGAAGCGGAGGAAGAAGCCCTTGGATCCTCGGCCGAGCCCGGGGGTCGACGCGACGAGGCCAAGAGTGGCTCAGAGATTCGGACGGGGAGATTCGGACCGTGTGAGGATGTCCGAAGCATTTGCATTGCTGCGCACCTGCAGAGCGATTTGGAATCGTTTTGACCACGGCATCAGATGTTCGAGGATTTGCGAGGCCGGTCGACCGAGACTGGCTTCGGTCAGATTGACTGTAACAGGGTGGCTCGTGTCCTCGAGACTGGCGGTTGTTTGGGCGGTTGAACTAGGCTCCGCAGGTGGGACGAGGCTGTGCTCGCCAGGCCTTTCGTAGGCCTTTTCTGATTGGACAAGGTGGCTTGAGCAATGACCTGCTTCGTATCCTAAATTCTACATTCTCAGCACCCATTTATTTATGGTAGGACCCTCCGTTCGATCGGCTTTGGGACCTGACCACGGGTGGTGAACCCAGGCACCGGACTTGAACCATGGAAACACTTGAACGATGGATCTGAACCTTGCAGAATATATCGGCGGTAGGGTGTTTCTATTCCCCACTTAGATAGGCCTGGGCTTTGCTAGTGTGTTAAGATTGTTATGCATGTTAAGTAAGTCATTATTACCTAGTTAAGGGAGTTATGTAACTAGTTAAGTAACAGTTTAGCTAAGGGGTTAGCTAAGGAGTTAGCTAAGAAGAAAGACGAAATTAGCAAAGTGTTTTCAAGATGTTTTGACAAGCAAAACTGTTTGAAGAAAGTGTTTCTGACCAAGAGAAATTTTTCTTTAACAGCAAAATGACAACAAATGTTTGGTCACAAAAGATACTAAAGAACTTGTGTTTAGCCAGAACAGGTTGCAATGTTGGTCCAATAAGGACATGCGGCAGCTTTTACAAGCTTAGAAACTTGCAAGTCAATTTGTCATGTATCAGCTTGTATTAGCTGTGAACTCGCATACCCCTTTCTCTCATGCATGAGCTTGTATTAGCTATGAACTGGCAGATTTTGATCTCTCTCACGTATGTGCTTGTATTAGCTGTGAACTGGCAGACCCCTTTCTCTCATGCATCAGCTTGCATAAGCTGTGAACCGGCAGACCCCTTTTCTCTCACGCATCAGCTTCCACACCTCCAAGCCAAAGGAACCAAAGTAGTGTATGTGCCACCATTCAAAGAATATGTAACTGGTGCAAGAATTTGGCCAGACTGTACCGCTGCCAAGTCATCTGTACTCTTCCACACTGCAAACTTTGTGCCAGGACCAATTTCCACAAGGGGAAAAAGTGTCACCACAGACACACATTGCCCAGCGTGTGACAAACGAACATTCACCATCCCACATTTCCAAGTGGGGGGCCCATGCAGCAGTACAACATCACCCTTGCTAACATTGCCACCATGCTGCAACTTCAAAGTGTGGCCTGTACACACATCTTGTGCAAATGGCCAAATTTGTGCCCAATGTGCAACATTTTCTTTGGCAAAGGTGATGCTTTCAAAAGGCCAGGCTCTGTGCACAAAGTAGCTGGATCACCCAAAGAATGGAACTCTTGGTTGATGACTTCATCCAAGACACCTCTTTCAAAATACTTTGTGTTGTACATGCTCACTGCATGCCTGGACACATCTTTGTGTTTTCTCTCTGTTGTAAAACAGAAACTGTCATCCCATGCTCTTCTAAATGGGAAGGGAAATGCAGTAGCCAGTGATGTTTCTTTATCACTCTGTCTTGCCAACCAGCAGCACACCACAGCCTCAGCACTGTTTCCACTTGGGCCGACAAAGTTTGTGGTTGCATGTTCCCTTGGAACATTTGCACCAAGGTTGCCAAAGCCACATAAGCTTCACACTCAGCTGTAACACTGCCCTTTCCTGCATTTGTTGCAGTCACCATCTTGTTGGTGCATCTCACAGGAGTGTTGTACCTCACCAGCTGTGCCAAACCAGGGAAATCCTTCACCAATGGTTTGCCATCCCCATAGCTAGCTTGCAGGTGCTCTTTGGACAAAGCACTGGGGTGGGCTGGATACACTGCCAAAGCTGGCACACCCATAGGTGTTGGCTCAGGTGAGCTTGCCAGGGCATGCATCATTTGCTGGGAAAGCGCATAAATGCTGTCACCTGTAGGCATTTGGTTGCCTCTTTTTTGCTCATGGTAAAGCAACAAGGCTGTAGCCACCTTTTTTGTGCTTTCTTTCATTCCCTTGATACCCAGTTTCTTCATCCTTGCAGCTAAGGTAGCTGTCCCCTGCCACATACTGACCCTTTCCAACTCACTCACATCACGGGCTGTCAGGTACAAATGAAAAGTGTCACATTGCTGAGGCACTGTATGCACTTTGGTGTTGGTCTCATCCTGACATCCAAGGGCCAGCTGGTCCACTGTAGCAGTGACGTCATCCTTCACATCTTGAGGCAGGTTGCACCCCTTCAGGACATCATAGAGGTCAATGAGGCTGTTGGCATCCACATGGCCCAAATTCACTAGCTTGTGCTTCACCTGGCTTTTGATGTGTTCTTTTAAGTCACTCAAGTGAGGCCTGGCCTGCAAAAGCAGCCCAGCAGACACTATCTCTTGCTTGAAGTCAGCCACAGTCCATGGGGCAGCCATTGTGCAAGCTTCACTTTGAAAAGCTGGTTTGTAGCCAAACACCCACTAGGTATCAAAAGTGCATACTATCTTTCACTAAGATAATCAAAAGCTGGTTAGCTAATCAACGCCTGTAGGGGCTGACACATATACTTAACATTTGAACAGCTGATTGTAACTAGACACAAAACTGAGCTTGTATAAGCTAATCAAAGCCTGCAGAGGCTGATGCATAGGCAAAAGAAACTATGCTGGTGAGCCTTTACTGGCTAAGACTGATGCTGCTGCCACAAGCTCTTTTTCACTTCCACTTCCTGCTGTTCATAGCAGGACTGGGTTGGTAAACATGGTCAAGATGATGGGACCTTTCCAATAGGCGCCCTTGAGTTCCAACTCCCTCTTGGTCATCCTTGGGTGGATCCAGTTTCAATCATCAAGTTTCAATCATTCACTCACCCAAGTGTATATCATTCAATCAGTGCTTCCAAGTGTCCAGAACTGCCATCCTCAGTGAAGATGTACTACCAAGCTGTAACTAAACAATCATGAAATAAAGTCAAGCAATATATATCATGATGATTTCATTCCAAGTCACCAGAGTAGTACTCTGCCACTCTGTATTTCACTCCATTGTCCCATGTCCACCAGCTTTTCCACACATCTGGATTCATCTCATACCATTTGATCCTGAGTGAAACAAACACAAAACTTCCAACATGCAATCAATGGATTGTCTAATACCTGTTGACCCTGAGTGAAACATTTGAAATATACAAACAGTAGGTTCAATGAAAATTACATTCATCTTTACTGTAGGCTGGTTCACACAACAACAAAACCTTTTGAAAATGTATAACCTAAGTGCATTAAAGACTCTTCATGCACCAGTATGGATCATTCCAAATCACATCAACTTCCTTCCATGTCTTCTGCACATCAACTATTCTAGTTCTCTCCATCCCTCATTCACTTGATCACACATACACTGCAATCAATATAATTATGCATTTGTACCCTTTGTATTTCATTTTAGAAAACTAAAATGAAATACTAGATTTTTGTATTTGATTTTAGAAAACTAAAATCAAATACAAGATTTTCGTATTTGATTTTAGAAAACTAAAATCAAATACAATTTTGTCGTATTTGATTTTAGAAAACTAAAATCAAATACA